GGCTCGTCTCCCCCTGCTCCCTCCTCAGCAGCCTGAGGTGCGAGGGCAGATGCGGGGAAACGAGGGGTCATGGTAGTTAGTTTGAATCTCTTTCTGCTTCCCTCTTGAGATAGGCTGACATAGCCGCAAATCGTCCATCTGCATACTCCTTCATTAGGGCACTTAGATTGTAATCCTGTCGGCCTTTACTCATGAAGGGAATCCTCTGAGCAGCGCTGTTGAAATCTGGGTAGGGTTTGCTTCTTAGGTCATCTATTCTCAATTTTTTCGTTGTAATCTTAATAAGCGATTGTGAACAATATCCAGAGATCATACTCTTTAGAGCTCAGTGGGCTACTTGAGGCTCTGTTTCACTGTAATGTAGTGTTAAAGCGCTGCAGAAGAGTTCTATACATCACTATGGTCCCCCCACCCAATTTTTTCAAATAAAGTTTGCAAGGTGCATAGTGCAGAAGTCAAATATCAAATGTGAAGTGTGGTTAGCATTTGACGGGTACTTTTTCATTTGACGAAAACAAGTTTTGAGAAAACTATTGAAAGAAATGCCCTGCATGTCAGTTCTTTGTATGTTACATGGGAGCAGCTTTCAGGATATGAGCAAGCTTCCATACACTCTATGAAAATATTTTTATGTTAATGATGCTATAAGAGATTTTGTCCTGGAAGAACCTCACTAATCTCATGACCATTACTGCTTAATATAGTTTGCATGGTACCAAAGAGAAATGACAACAAAAGCAAGTATCTCAAAATGTACATTACTCATTTGGACAACTGTACTACCACAGCACCTGATAATAAATGTGAGGTAGCATATCTTACGGAAATACTTATCTCCGTAATGTAGAAACTCACTAAAGCTCTCGGTTCTTAAATCTTCCCTAATTGATTGTGAGAAACCACCGCTTTTATATCAAGATTTGTGAAGTGTGTGGGTTACTGGATTACAATGTAAGCTCCAACACAAGGCATTTAACTTTATTTCAGCATGATTGTTAAAGCACATGTAGTGCAGTTATAACCAGAATTCAGGAGCAAATGATGTTAAATCTCAGTACAGAAATAGTTCACTGTCTTAACATTTATTAAGAAATCTCAGCTTTTTAACAGCTTCTAGGTTTAGAAGAAAATTTTTACACTAATAATGATATGCTTTTACTTATTATTTTTCGCTATTTCAGTATCTTTCATTTTTTCATTGCAGATTATGTTTACTTTGAAAATTCTTCCAGCAATCCATATCTCATCAGGAGAATTGAAGAACTGAATAAGGTACGCAAGTATCTAAGATTCTTGCTTAACCTTTGACAACAGTGCGCTTTTGCGCTTTTCAAAAACTGTGAATGATTGCCATCCCCTAAGATTTCTATCGTGATAGAATTTTATGGGTTTGGGGTTTTTTTTGTTTGTTTGTGGTTTTTTTTTTTGGTTTGGTGGTTTTTTTTGTGAGGTGTTTGGGTTTTTTGTTTTTTTGGGTTTGGTTTTGTTTTTTTTTTTACTTTCTTGAGATTTGCTATGTATTTTGTGTACGTTTCAGTTACTGAAGTCTTGCTATGTGATATCCTGTGATTCTACCCTGTTATCTAAGGAAACACCCAGTTTATCATTCCTGGTCAACAGGAATACTCTGCTGTAACATTTTCCAAATGAATCCTATGAATGCTTGAGGAAATAAATTAATTTAATTCTCTGTATGGTGATGACATTGTGAATCCATCTGGAATGATAGCGATCATGTAAAGTGTCTACGTTTGGATGTATGTGTGAAGAGCTAGTAGGTATCAGTGAGACTTTGCAGTGATCAGATAACAATATGTGACTTCTGTGGCTGTTTATTGCTCTGCTTATTGACAGCTGTGAATAAAGGACAGGCTTTTGAATAGAATTAGAGACTGTATTCTGTGTCTTTAACCTGAGTGTATTTTTATAAAGAATGAAGGCTTTTCAGAGTGTAATTTTGGGGAAAGCACAATTTTTTTTTCTTCGTTCTTGTACTACTAAGAATGGTGTGGGTTGGTTTTTTTTTTTTTTTGTAGTGTGGCATATTTTTACTATTCCATCAAGCAGTATTAAAACTTACTGATACGTTACATCAAAAGTTAATGATCAGAATGCCTATCATAATGTAAATAATGATAAGGATTATTCTTTTTTCTGTAGTTAAAAAGTAAATTAAAAAATTTATGACCTGCAAATCGTTTTCTTCTCATTAATGGAACATAACACTTCTCCATAGAAGACATCAACCACATTACCTGTTGGTGCTGTCCAATACAACATCCACTGAACTTGTGCATGGCAAATCATTTTGGACTTTTATTGGAGAAGAATGTTTTTTATTTAGAGTAATTGAAGTGATTGCAATCATGTTCTGAATGTAATGTTTATTATCTTTAAACTGCATTGGTATAATTTAATCTTGCTTGTGGATGGTAGAGCAGAGTCATGTATTGATTTTTTTTTTTTTTAAAGAGAGTTTTGTGAATATAGTCCAGATATCTTAATTGTGAATTATGTGCTTTCATATGTTAAAGGCATTGAGCAAACATGGAGGTGTTACACAAATATGTAATGAAATGCTTTGGTTATCCTTTTACCGGAGATAAGATGCTTTACTTTTTTTGGTAAGAAACTTAATTAAAACATGATACTTTTCAGTGCCACATCTTGAGTTTTAAATAAGTAACTCAAGGTAATGAACTAATTTTGTACTTTTCGTAACAAGAAAGAAGGTACGGTTCTTCAAAGATTAGTAGATTCTTTACGTTATCAGGCTAAAGAGCATGATCCCTGTAACGAGTCATGAAAACAACTGTGAACTAAATAGCTCTTTTATCTTATGAGCTGCAGTGAATTTTCAAATAAACCATGTTATATTAAGTATGATTCCGAAAAAAATGCCAGAGTGCTTTGAAATATACATTTCTGTCTGAAGTTGGGTTGCAAAGAAATGTTCGCAAGTTTCTAATATTTATTAAGGATTCTTATGTTAACATGATACTGGTGTTAGATCTCTAAACAACTGAATAATATATAAATTCTTAGGACTAAATAATTATAATCAGTTATCTGATCTGAAATTGATATTGGCCTGTGTCAGGAAGTTTTTACTTATTTGAGTAAGTCCGTTGGTTCCAGCCTGATCATGTGAGAACTACTAAAACGAGCGAAAATTGCAAGCAGAGAGCATTTAATTTGTATCACTCAGCTGAGGAAGGCTACTTTCTGACTTGATTTATCTTTCTTTTGTAGACTGCCAATGGTAACGTGGAAGCAAAAGTGGTGTGTTTTTACAGGCGAAGGGATATCTCCAACAGCCTTATAATGCTTGCAGATAAGCATGCTAGTAAGTACATTGTATAGGGCATTTTTTCTTTCCATCACAGCCTGTTCAGTTTCTGCAGCTACTTAAAATTGCATTTCTTTGGCATGTGGAATATATATTTATATTAGGCATGAATTAATATCCAGTTAGATGCTTAGCATTATCTGATACTGGCCCTGTTCCTAGTAGTTGCTTCCAGGACTTAAGTTGAGCTGTATTAAAGTGATTGAAAGTCTCCATTTGGGAAGGGGAAAAAAAAAAAAAAGACATTTTTTTCATCTGGAAGGTACAGCTATACTTTTTTTATGTCAAAAGTAAGTCTTGGGTGTAAGTCAATTTAAGCCTAAGAGCGTTTGTGAGGATTTGATTTGATTTTTTTGAGTTAGACATAAACACGTATTGCTTACTGTAAAGAACGAAATGTGTCATTGGAGACTGAAAATCACTGGAGATTGTAAAATAGCTGTTATGTGCATTTATGCTAAATGTAGATATTAATCAGTAAAATAGTAGCAAGCATCATCTCATTGTTTTTTCAGAAAATCAACAAGTGGTAACAGGGAAAAAAGTCCCATTTTCATCATGAACTTAACTATTTTTGGTAGCTGCCGTTTGGTCTACAACTGAAATATTTTCCCACAACTTTATAATTAAAAATACATTTCTGAAGACAAAAACAGAACCTAAAAACCAGAGATGTTTGAGAAAATAGTTATTTGCAAAATATTGCACTCATGTTTGTAAATAACTGAAGTGTTAAGATATGCCAACATCTGGTAAATTTCTTGCCATATACTGTTAAATAACACTTTGATTATAAACAATACTTGAGTTTTCAAAATTAGTATGTGAATAAGTGACATGGGGATTATAAATCTCTGTTCTCTAATTTATTGGGATGAATCTCTCTTAAGACATTACTTAATGCCATATTTTGTGTGCAGCTATATGATGGAGTAATTAGGCGTTTAAAAAAAAAACCTTACAATTTGTTTAATGTCAAATTCTGATAATTTCACTCATACAAGTACCATTAATGAAGAGAAACAGCCAGCTTTTGGCTTTTGTTTTATTTTTTTTTTTGGTCCTAGGGAAGTGGAGGTGATTTGAGTATGCAGTGTGAAGTACTAGCTTGGTTTTTAAAGAAAGAAGATACATCTTGCTTATGTACTAAGGGAATGATTTATTTAAATGTTTTTCTAATATGGTTGGGTACACTTTATAATTATTGGTGACCCATTTCATGGCAGTCTGCCCCCACAATCATGATAGTCTTTTGAGTTCTTCTATATGAAATGTATAGAAACATAGAACTTCTAGTGAGCTTCACTAAGCTTTCCAGCACATTTTTTTGTTTTTCTTTTCTAATGTAGGAGGCAGGGAAGGATGAAAAAGATAACAATTTTACTATACTGCTAATTTTAAAATTTGATTTTTAAAACATGAATCTTGTAAATTTTTTTTTGTTAGCTTATTTTTTAGAAAAGGGTGTGTTAGTTCTGTGGGCATGATTCAATCTGGAAAAGTGGATAAGATTTTTCTATTTCCTTTGTGAGTTTTAGATTGCCATTTTGTCAGCACTTTGATGTAAACGACTTGTTGATGGTCTGTTGCTTTCCACTATAGCATGCTAGGGGTTTGTTGGTGTCAGTAGAAGTACCATTGAATCTTCCATCATGTTTTCTTTATTGAGATTCTCGTGCTGTTTTCTAGTGAGAAAATAGAAATGTAGTTTCTAGCTGATTCAACAAGCATCTTTAGAATGCCCCTGTCTCACAGGTCGTAAGTCTTCTAACCCAGTGTTCTCATGGATCAGGTTTCTCTGTGGACGTTTTCTCTGTATATAATGTTTTTTTTCTGACCAATCTGTGGAATCTGTACAGCTAAGTTATCTTACAAGATATATGTTACACTTACAGGGAACAGCACATAGTGAAGGATTGCTTGCCTGGATCTTCATACAGCTCATACAGCAGATGTAGTTAAATGTCAAATCAATTTAAATGGTTTGATTCTGGAATACAACAGTGTTCTGTTTAAAAATATGATGTTTGTAAACAAAATATTTGTGTATCTATGAACTGAATGTTTTGGGAATGTTTTATGTAGCTGAACATGTTGATGCATCAACACTTCTACCTGGTTTGTTATAAAATAAATGCTAAAAGAAACAAGTGTCTTACAGAGTGGAAGTTCAGTTCAGTCGCTGATTACTCCAGTGTAGGTGTCTAGAGAAGTCTTTTAAGTATAAGATCTGCTTGATCTTTTCTAACGATATTTTATATTGCTAGCAATTTGCTTTTTCTTTATGATGGAGAAAACTGTCCTGAGTAATGCACTTCTGAAGATTCTGGCAGTTGGGGATTGGGGTTTTTTTGGGTGACACTTCAATTTCTGAAGGTTGCTTTTTGTGGTGTAGATATGGTCCCATTTAATAAGAAAAGAAAATAGCTTTGTAAGAAAATATTTTGGAACTTTAAGAACAAATTTTCAATAACTTGAAAAAGATTCAAAACAATTTTAAAGAATGTTTGGGAAAAATGGAATGAAGTAGATCTGTGACACTACCACTGGTAAAGAGTCAATATACTGGTTTTTTTTTTTTGCGGGAGGGGGAGCGTGGTTTTTAAGTTGTCTTCAAAAAAGTTTCAGGATATAAAAAGTAATTGTGAGGGAAGAATCAGGTTTTCCTTAGGCCATTCTAAAATACGCAGGTATGGAGGAGTTCCCTTGATTTCAACGCATCTGACACTAATCTGGGAGGAAATTGCATTTCCTCTGTTTTTCTCTGGTGTTCCTGGTGGAAGTTAACAAGCATTTTTATTTGTGTACCAGCATCACATATGATGTCAGTCTAGATCTGGGAATAGTTTTATAAGCTGACTGTAGCCACTGAAATCTCGGGGTTTGGAATGTTCTGTGGGTTCTTGAAGATACTACATTTTTCCCCTTTTGATATCTGTTACTATAAAGTAGAGTTTATGATAAGGCCAACTTGAAAGCCAAACCAAAATACTGGCCAAGATCAACTTCTTGATCCTATGCAGCCTCCTGAACTGAGTAGGGGAGTTCTGTTGGAGTGTTAACACCCACCAGCAATTAGGTTGTAGCCATTAGCATACGGTCACTGTGAGGGGGTCACTCCTTTCTTCATGCAGCAGAGTAAGGCTTACTTTATGGGGAGAAGAAGGAAAAGAGATGAACAGAAGACAGCAGGCAGTACAAGAGATATTGCAAGAGATGACTGAAGTGCGTAAGCAAATGAACTTGGAGAGATGGGACAGAAACATTCAGCCTATTAAAATGGGTGAAGCAAACGTGAAGGGGTGGCTTAGAGATATTTTCTAACCAAGTGGTGTCATTGAATGAGAAATCGCCGACTGTAGCTGGATCTATAAAATTCAGATGATCCGTAGCTGGATCTATAAAATTCAGATGATCCTTTAGCTAAGGTGGAGTTGATGTAAATATTTTAGGGCAAAGTTTTAATAGCTGGGGATGGGGAACTATGCTAGCTCTGTACCAGCACTGGGTTTGGGTTACAGTGAAGGGCTCAGCTTCTGTGTTTCCTTCTTTTGGAATAGATCTATGCATTATTACTTTCTTGAAGCTGAGTAGGGTGGCCTGAGTGCATGATGCCATTTTTTACAGTTCTTTACATTTTAAATTCTTCATCTGGTCATGTGCTATCATGTAATACTATGTCTGAAGTCATTCTCTTGTTGCAACTCCTCAAACAGCTTTTGCCTAGTCAACCACCTGGGAAGGATATAAAAAAAATTCCTGTTGTCAGAGGCCTTTTGTCTTCTGATTTATTAAGAGAGCTTGCTTTGACTGAGGTGTGCTGAGCTCCTGACTAAATGCCCAGAATTTTTCTGAGCCTATGATAAAGCCTATGCATTATGTATTTTTTCTCATTAACAAAATGGATGCTCTTACGAATGAGACAGGAGTCAATTTAAAAAAAAAAAAAAAAAAAAAGGCATGTTGGTTTCAGTGACTGAGAGATCAAAGGTAAAACTGAGATTTTTCTAGATTACAGAAGCTGTAGTTAAAATCTCCTTTTCTCAATCGCTCTTTGTAGTGATCAGTTACTGGCTTTACTTCTCATAGGTGCACTTTTTTTAGGACTTTTCTTAGCCTTCAGCTCTTGAACAACCATGTTTCATGTTACATTGCTTTGCAAAATGGTGTTTCTGCTGCAGAATTTTTGTGCACGATAGATTTCTAGGAAGAAAGGAAGTGTCCTGCTAGTGATCTAGTGATTCTTGTTGAACAGCTGGAGTCTGTACTCAGTTCTGACCTTGGTATGACACTGATGTATTGTGATCAGAAACAAATCAAGTATTCTCTCTGTACTTTAGTAATGCTCTTATTAGAAGTTCTTGCTAAGGTTGGTGAAAAATATTTAATATACCAATACATTTTTATAGCTCCCATTAAAAGATCTCAAAGCGCCTTACAAATAATTAGCCTGAAAACTAAGAGTTTCAAGAATGGTATCAAGAATGTTCCAACAGTCCTGGAAATGGTTTGATCTTACGTAGCAGTTTTGCTATTGTTGAGCTCTCCTACTTTTATGTAAAGATGCTTTGTACGTGAGAAAAAAAATAACAATTACATTGCATATTTTCAGTCTACGTTAGTGTCACAATAATTGCCAAACATTTCAGATGCATCTGAGAGAATGAACCTGTTAATATTCCATCTGATTTTTGGGAAGCATTTTATTTCAGTAGAGCAGCAGGCTAGCAGGTAGCACAGAAGATGGCAAGAAAATGAGCTTAACTTGAGAAATACTGTTTAATATATTTAATATATTTAATAGTAATGCAGATTACTCATTAATATTCCCAAAGATAGACAAAACTGAAATGTGAATCCCTTTCATATGTCATCAGTTTTGTGTAGTGGTATTCTTAATACTCAATTCCAGGAAAAACACATGAGAGTTTTTCCTGCCCTCTTCAACAATAGAAGAAATACACCTTAGAAAGTTTCATTTTTCAGTATTTTTCTCA